GACTGCACTTGGTGTATAGACATATCGCTTCATTGTTACCCTGGTAGAATCAGTCATTTTTGCCTGTTGCTCACATGGAGGTAACAGTGGGGACAGAAGATATAAAACTGGAATATATTTTAGTAAAACCATAAACAGGAGCTTGGGGCAGAGGAAGTACTTAAAATTACTTCTGACTCAATTTCACATTGTCATTCAGCATCCCTCTCGAGTTAAGTAGAGATGGAAGACGACAAATATTCAATTCCAGTTATTAATCAACTTCTCCGCCTGTTCTTAATGGAAGTTATATTTTGCCAAGTCAAAATATGTTTTAATTCCATTTACACAATTATCAGTCAAGGCAGAGATACTCAAAAACCTTACAAATATAGACACATTATTTTTGTAGTGTAAATGGAAGATGAGAAGGGGAATGTTAAAACCAGCAAAAGATTCTACACTAGAAATGTATAATTTTGATTAAAAAGTAAATGTAGCAAAATGCTAATGTACAGCAGATTTAATTATGGAGCTTAGTGCTTTAGCTCACATAAACCTAATAGCCTCTCCTCAGGTGCCTCTTGCTAATTCAAACTTCAAAGTTATTTGGGGGAAGCGCTCAGAATTCTGCTGCCATTATAAAACATGACTATTGCTTCAAAGAATGCAGATGTCACAGAAATAAATATGAGCATTAGAAAGGATTTCAAGTCCAGTGATGCCAAATAACTGCTTTTTTTTTTAATTTCTTATGTTTTGATATTTGAACAAGAACATGATCAGTGTTTGATGTTTAAACACTGAGCCTGGCACTAAAGTTTGCAGCACAGTGAAGGTAAACAATAGCATGCAATTGCATAAACTTCACATATTTCAAAGTTACCATATTAAGTCAGTTTTCATTTGCATTTGACACCTTAGAGGCTATATTAAGGCTTCTGATTAAGATACGATCCATATAAATTAATATTTACTGAAGAGTTTCTGGAATAAAGAAGGAATTTAACTCTTAATAAAACTGGACTAGCAAGACTGAATCCCCCACATTATGAGTTGTATCCGCATAATACGGTTTGCATTTGGTTAAAGCCTGAGAGTGGTTCAATGTTATTCCTCCAGTTATTAATATTCATTTGGAAGAAGGTTCCTTAATTTTGGACTTATTTTAGGTCATTTTAAAGTGTTTCCTCTCTCGTGATCAAGGATTTATAGTATACATATGTCAATGAGACCCTGACAATCCTCACTCTTAAAAAAAAAAAAACTTCTCTGCAAGTTTGACAGCTGCAGAAAAATCACCCCTTGCCGACAGAGTTGGGCTGGGCTGAGTTGGGCTGGGCTGGGAGGTAGCACCGTTCCGACATTCAACTGCAGCACACGGAAGTCGTGCCCGGCTCTCAGTGCAACGTGTCAGTATGTGTCCTGGAGCCTCAATGAAGCCCTGTGTCGGGGGCAGCAGCCGCATGACCTGCATGGCCCATAACGTGCGCATCCAAACGCCCCAGCCAGGGTGGGAATTTACCCGTGTGCTGGAAGCAGCGGCCACGTTCAAAGCGCGGTTTGGCATTTCTGGGGCAGCACGATGCTTTGCCGAACGTACCCCGCCCGGGCTGGGCTGCCCCCCTCAGGGAGCTGCAGCAAGGGAAGCCCCCCACCCCCACGC